GTGGTAATAACCCTGCTAAAGGTTGGCGAGGGATGATCAAAGATGCAATTGTTATGGGGGAATTTTCGGCTATGGGTCCCTTGGCATTCCTGGTGTTTAACACTCCACAGGGGGGAAAGGAGTGAGAGGCATTGGATTTAAAGGTTGTAAAGGAGGCGTGTCAACCGGTAACATCCTACGGGTTAAAATCATCATATACTCAGGCAATTATCGCACGTATTTTTTCTGCATATATCTTAGCACCGTATGATATCCATATGATAGCTCAATCGTTGCTTACTCCCCACCTTCAGATACAGTTTAAAGGGGGCACAGCAGAGGAAAAGGCTGGATACATGGCTACTACCTTTGCCGCTGCTGTTAAACCCCTTCTACAATAAGGTTAGGGTGATCACGGGGGTACTAAAGGTATGAGATGCTATAATTGTGGGCAGACGGGACATTTTAAAAAGCAGTGTACTGTAAAGAAAATCAGTTCAGCAACCCACCCCCCTCAGTGTGGTGTTACTGGTTTTGCAGACAAATGTATTAGATTGTGACGAATTTGGCTACAAGACAGTTGAATATCATTCACAAAGAACCCCCCTGCCAAACCTCCAGGGAAGTGAGACCAGCGCAGGATACAGACGTATTGTATGCTTTTTCAGTGGTGCGAAGGTCTTTCGTATGCTCTTATCAGGGGTATCGGGCAGACTGTGATGGACTGTGGACTTATGACCCCATATACAACTTATTTAATACAGTCTGTGATATTCATGTACTAGAAGTTGGTGAAAATAAGTATGCCCAGGTTTTTATTGACCTTTGGAGACCTTTATAGATATTGCTGGCCACTTCTTCCAACATAGGCTGGCCACCTGTGTTGGAATGAGTGTGCATTTTGGTCAGTATAAAAGCCCAAGCCTCATGCGATGTGGGGGAAAGCAGAGCCTCTGCAGGGACACCTGCTAAGGTTGAGCCTGCCACCTCGCACTGCGATGATGCTTCTCAGAGCTGGTTTCTTGTTAGTCTCCACAGGGTCCTTGTGCCACCTTGTGTACATGGGATTGTGTAGTGGAAATAATGATTGTTGGGATTTTGTGCTTCAAATATTGTAGTTGTGTGGAGTGTGCTTGTGGGATCCCATACGTGTGTATGTGTGTGTGTGTGTGTGTGTGTGTGGAGGGCAGACGGTGTTCTGTGTATTTTTTGTTGTTGGGTTCATGTAAAAGTTTTTAACGGGTAGCAGTTTAACATTTCGGGCAAGAAAGGGTTAATGCAAAAGTGTGGTTGCCGGCAGGTATTTATGGTTGCTGCTGAAGCAGGCAGGCAGCTGTAAGCTGCTGCTGAGCAGGCAGGCGTTTGTAGCTGTGCAAAGCAGGGTGAGTGACTTTGGAAAAAAAAAAAAGAAAAAAAGAAAAGAAAAAAATATATGTTATTTGATGAGAATTCGGTCCCCATGTTCAAAAGAAATTGAACAAGAAGCTTAAACTCATATTGAGTCCACTTCTTGATTTGGGTCACTCTCTCTGACATTTAATTGGCGCCCGAGATGGGGCCTCGAGGTTGGACTCAGACTTCTCCAAACTGTGTCTGGCCGTTGTAGCAAAGGCACAGACGGGGTGCAGGAAGCATCTACTAGCAAAAGCGGTGAAGCTCGGCTACTGGCAAAAGCAGTGAAGCTTGGCTAGGAGTGACAGCTGTTGTGGACTGCGCACCTGCACCTGCACGGGTAAGATCGCACTCTAAAATCCACCATGGATTGAGAGGCGGCACTCACACTTTTAGAATAATTACTTGCTGAGCAAGAGGCTAGTGTGAGTACAAAAAAAGCTCAGAGAGCTATGTCGGTGGGCGAAGGAGAAAGGACATCTTAAGGATCCACAGCTAATGTTCAGCATTACTGAATTGGGGACTCTTTGTGGGACGCTACCATTGTGGGGAATAAACCCGTTAAAAGACCTGAGGGTAACCTGGAGGAAGGTCATGAATCAGCTGCAGCAGATGGTGGCAGATAAAAAAAAAAAAAAAAAAAAAAATAGAACTGACAACCTGGAGGAGGGGGTATATTTGTGTCCTCCTGCCTACAGGTCCATGGCGACTGCCTGCAAAGTTTGTTATAATCCTTGCCATGATCTGGACAGACGAATGGAGGAACCTGATGCTTTAGCTACAGGAGCTGACCGTGAATACCCCAAGCAGGATGAGACAGAGGAAGAGAAAAACCAATGATTGCTAAACATCATTTGGGAGCAACTGAAAAGTAACAGCTTGAATATGTGTGTTTGTAAAGTAGCTATTGGTAGAGGCTTTGATTTTGTGTATGAAACCACCTGTATTTACTAGCCAGTTGCTAGTAAGAAACTACACCTTGTATTGTACAGATTTGTCACTTGTAAAAGAGATGTTAGAGTATGCAAATTTGTAGTAGCTGCTAGAAAATGCTAAGGCAAAAGATAGAAATAGTCTAATACAATGGTAGTGTTATAAAGCAGGTAATGGAACAAATTAAGAGGGTTAGAGAATTCCACTGGTAAGAAATTTCTTTGGCTAGTTCCTCGCTGCCATCAGCATCTTCAACATGCTGCTGCACCCTGTAATAGTTACTCTGCTAATGTAAATCTGTGTGTGTGCCTTGCCGTAATAACAGCTTGTTATTGGATGAAGCAGGTGAAACTGCACTGACAACAAGGTGCAAGGACTGAGGCTGACCAAATGCCTGCTACCACAATCAAGGGCAAGACTGGGTTGGCCTCTGTGTTTGCCACCAATTAGAACCTTTAGCTCCGCTGCTGGCTGCAACCCAGCAGGCGTGGAGTGGTGGGGACACATGCCATGCCAGACCTTGATGTGAAGGATGGCCTCCCTTGTTATAAGAGAGCCATGCTGAAGAAAAAGGGGTTGGCCCAGCAGCCTGTAGCTGGCATATATTGAAAAGATGATCTAGCCCAAATCCCCTGCTCAAGTACTGTCATCCAAAAGATGTATATAAAAAAAAAAAGAAAAAAAAAAGGGGAGATGTGGAGACAGTGTTCTCACGGAAGAATGGATATTTGGTACATAAACTGAATAATCCTGAAAGATACAGCACGGCTGTGAGAGGCCCAAGGAAGCTTAAGCAAGCAAGATAAGAAGAAGCTGTAATTCACTGAGTTAATGAGAACTGTGGACTGTTGGCAAGCTTTCGAAGTCCAGTTCTCACACCTGTGTTTAACCAATTGTGTGTTAGTCACTAAGGGTCTTCAAGACATGCATCCAATCATAATATGCCAAATCAGTGTAAGTGCCTGTAAGAAATAGTATATAAGGAGTTAAAGCTTTGTAATAAATTGGCATTCGCTGATCACATTGATCGTTCCTGCATTGTCCGTGACTCCCATGCCAACAACAGTCAACTGATCATCCACCAATACTCCCAGGTCCTTCTCAGCTGAACTGCTCTCTAGTAGGTCAGCCCCCAGCCTGTACTGGTAACAGGGGTTCCTCCTCCCCAAATGGATGACCCTACACTTGCCTTGTAATGCAGTGTATCAAAGATGTACACATACAGCAGGAAGGATTCTTTTCCTTTGAAAGATTGCCAAGGAATACAGTTTCTGTACTCATACATATTTTAATTTGCTTTGTGCTAACAGTTTCTTTGAAGAGAACTGAGGTTATGTATCAAACACAGGAGTACAGATAGTCCTTTCTATCAGAAGGATTTGATTTCCAGTCACTTGGAAGTTTCATTGTCTTGAAGGTGTTTTGAACAACTGCCACACAGATGAAAAGACAGTCTTTAGCATGGCTTCTGACAGGTTTACCATGCAAGTATGGGGTCAGCACAAGATCTACATCCACTTTCTTGGACTACACACAGATAACTACTGTAGCCACACACTTTTGAGGTAGCCTCATTCAAAAATCAATACCAAATTCATCAGTATTATCACTACATTATGAGTATGGTTAACCCCATCCAAGATGCCTAAAATGATTGCTCACACCCTAAAAGTGACTTTGTCTCTCAAATGGCTAGATATAGAGCATAGATGACTATCCCAGATGGAGACAGCCCTTGCTGCCTATTGGCAGTGAAGACTTTAAAAGATGCACTAAATTAAATATTTAATTAATTTAAATGAGATATTTGCCTGAGCTGCCATCAGTCCCCCTTTTACTCTTCAGTTACATTAGTAGTTATTTGTGCTTTCTAAGTACCCATCCAGAGCACATAAGCAGCGGCTGGACTTGTACTGCACACACCTCAGTGGGTATATAGTGTGTACACAGTGGGTATATGGATGCTATGAGCATCAGGTTTATCTATCTTCTTCAGTGGAAAGGTAGGCAGGACTTTGGTACCTGTGGCTGTTGTGCAAGCCACACAGTGGGAAAGCTGAATGGTAGACAAAGGAACCTGGCTGAGCTGCATCTGACTTACGTTTAGATAACCCATTAGTCAGCAAATGATCATAAATTATATATTCTTACTGGTATTACAGTAAGTGGAATTAGACACCTCAGTCCCTTAAAGCCTGGATGGGGGAAGCTGCCTGCATTGAGAAACAGTTCTATACCTTTGTAACTCTGGCCCTAGGCTCCCTTAATAATTTTTTAAGTTGAATGAGGCTTATCCTCCACCAGTTACATATCATCATTGGCATGACTTCAACTGTTGTATTGTACACTCCCAGTCACCCCACCCTTCAGTTTGCCTCTTCTCTTTATGCACCTGCATGTTAGGATAAACTGGGAAAGGCAGTTTAATTGGGGAAGAAAGTTCACAGTCGAGGAAGGGCGTTCACAAGTCTGCTCTCTGCCTTTAGACAGAGAGCAGCAACCGATGTCAAAGCCTACTGATCATCTGGCTTGTCTTTCTGGCTGTGAGGGGAGTGGCAGACCACAGAAGCAACACTTTATAAGAGACTGAGGAAACGAACTTGTGAAGCAGTCATTCAGCTAAAGTCAATTACCTGGCTACCTAGAGCTTACAAGGAAGAACACCTTGAGGGGAAACAAAGGAGAAGAGAACAGCAATGAAAAGGCTTTGGCTGTTTGTTTTCAGTGCAAGTGAGTACTAATTTGGTTGTATCCTCAAGGGCTAGGTAGAAGGAAACAGCACTACAATGGAGTGCTCTAATGGACTTCATGTGCTTTTCTGTTTAGTAAAACTTCCTTCATGTTTATAATCAAGCAGGGTTGTTTACTGTCTCTGAGCATCACAGGCATTTCCTAAAGCTGCAAGACACTGTTAGGAACAGGAGAAGAATGCCACTCTTCATGAGGCTGGAAAGTATTTTTTAAAAACCAGTTTTAATGGTTTTTCTTAAATATGGGAACTTCCTCATCTGGGAGTGGAAAAGCCCTTGAGTTTTATTATTTTATAATTAAATCTGCATGTACCATATATTTCCACAGCCTAAACCCTGTTGTTTATATGTACTCTGATACAGCTTGCAATCTCTGTACACTACTCATGTCAAGGGGATGCACAACAATCCCTACTAACACATATAAATCAGCCAGCTTGCCCTTGATCACATACTTGCCTTTTCTCATTCTGTGTTGCAGAGCCTGCTGACTCTGTTCCACTGCTTCTTAACCTCTTGTCTTCTCATACCTATGCTCCTATACCTTCTTCCAGTCTTCAGAGCTACACGTATGGAAATAGCTTGGGGTTTTTAACCAAAATCCTGAAAACCGCACTTTAGTAAGAGCCACAAGAAGGAAATTCGCAAAGTTTAACACAATTAGAAAAAGTGGATGTGCTCCATAGGCAACAAATGTTACTTTGCTCATGATTTGATGATCAATATGTAAACTGTGTAACACCACTGGTGGTCATTCTCCTTTTTAATTATTCTCCCCTTTCATGCTATCCAAAATACAGATGGGAAACTTTTCAGAGCAGAAACATGTATGTTGGGTGAAGCTCTTCTTGCCTGTTTGGGCAGGACTAAAATGGTAGTAATTCAGTGTTAAAATACTAGCCTATGAAAAAATTTTGAAGGTAGATTCCTGCAATTCCTGCACTGTGCTGGAGTGGAGAAACAGCACAGGACGTAGCAGTGCAGCTGAGAAGCCAGAGCTGCCCTGAATTGACTGCATCAGGGTCTCTGCACAGGCTGACTTCTCCAGCTGATCAGCCTTCGACTGCAGTTGTGTGCGTAACTGGTGCTGTAAATTCCTTGCTCTTCACAGACATTGTTAATCAAACAAAATATTTACTTTTTATTGCAGATTTCACATTTAAGATGTTTCCCCTCTCCCACTTCAGAACGGAATTTCAGCTAAATGCTGAGATTAAGTATTGAGGAATTAAAAGTCAAAGCATTTCCTTGTAAAAAACATCTCCACGTTTCCTACTTTTCTCACTTGCTCAATCTACCAAGACAAATGAGCAATAATAATTTTGCTTGATCAGGATATCTTTTTTGTTAGTGAACAAAATATCATTCTCGTTGTCTCCAGTTTATTAATTGCCCTTTGCACTAATTACACTTAGTAAGAAAAGTGTGAGGAGACAGGTCACTTTTTCTTCTTCCTTTGTACAAATATAAATGTTTAAGTTGAGCAGAGGGAGATAAAACCTTTCTCAATTTCTTACAATGTTATAAACATACTAACTGATAATCTAAGGCTCAAATGTAGTTGATGCCATCCCTCTAGTACTACACATGCTATTCGTCCTCTCTCCTCTCCTGAAATTCTTTCAGAATTGGCTGGCCCCTTCCTTCAGCCATACTTCAAGTAGATTCTGTTTCCTGTCAGAAAACAAACCAAAACCACCCATACAACCAACCTCTGCAGAATAAACCCCTATTTTTGGACATACTGACTAAGACCAGCTGCCTGTTGGTAGCTTTGTGAGGAAGTGAAATGTAGTGAGAAGGAGAAAGGAGGAAATTGGTGTGAGTAAATGGTATCCCAGACTGCAACCGTGCAGCTTCCCCAAAGCCAGAAGGAGCCTTAATGAGGGAGGAGTGGGAGCCAGAAAGATGTTGTGGGTGAAAAACAGATCATCAGAAGTCAGGCACTGGGGTGACAGCAACAGATTTAATAAGCAATCTCACTTGTATGGGCTGTTCAGCTGCTCCCTCACTCTGCAGTGAAGACATGTTTGGAAAAAACACAAAGGCTTCGTTTATGGTAGGATTTGACTCACCCAGTTGGAAGAAGGAAGAGCACTTGTGAGGGGAAACCTTAGGGTTGGGCCATCTTTTCTCTGCCTCAGGGCTGAGTTAGTAACTGGTCAGTAAACCCCAGCCTGGTGGAACCAGTTTCTGAGTGAGGGAAGGGTCAGGGAATGGTTTTCGCTCCGTCTCCTAGTACAGACAGTAATGCTTTTCAACTAAATGCAGGAAAGTGTTTCTATCCAGTTCCGACAGGTTAGAAAGCTTTCTAATTCAAAGGCATGATGAGAACATCGACAGTTAGAAAGAGCCCTGGGACTACGCAAACATGGGTGCTGCACTGGATGCTCCAGAGCAGTGAAAGACCTGGAAGTGGCTGCAATAAAACCATATTAGCAATACTTTGCCCTGCTGGTTTCCTTCTCATAGCTGTCAGCAGCTGTAAACAAGTTAATCCCAGAGAGAACAGAAACCACTACTACCATGGCGCAGAGGAAGAGACTAAAACACATGCATAACTAATGAAATGTGCAAGACCACAGGATAACTCAGTTACAGGACAGGGAATGCAGAAAAATGGGAACTTTGGCTAAAAGCAGATCCTCATGCCAACCATCCCACGTTACCCTTTGTAATTACCTGCATTGCTACCAGCAGTGACAACAAAACCTTTGGGGTCCCTACACTGTTGTTTTCTAATGGACACTACTGTTCACTACTGCTCTTGATTACAGTCAAGGATCTGGGAATGCCCAACTTGCCAATGGCTTACTCACCTAATGCATGTGGCTGTGGTTTTTTCTTGTCAAAAAAAAAAGTATTCACAATCACTTTGCAGCTCAAGGTGGAATCCAGACATCCTCTGCTTTCACCCTTACACATTACATTTCCTCATGGATCTAATCTGGAGACAGATGTGGCAGAATGAGGATACAAAGCTTGATAGACGGTAACTTTCCAGTCCGTTTCTTTCTGGGGAACACTGACTCAGCCTGGTTCTCTCAGAAGCATGCTTCCCTATAGGGATGCTGGGGAGGGACTCTTCATCAGGGACTGTAGTGATAGGACAAGGCATAATGGGTTAAAACTTAAACAGGGGAAGTTTAGATTGGATATAAGGAGGAAATTCTTTCCTGTTAGGGTGGTGAGGCACTGGAATGGTTTGCCCAGGGAGGTTGTGAATGCTCCATCCCTGGCAGTGTTCAAGGGCAGGTTGGACGAGGCCTTGGGTGATATGGTTTAGAGCGAGGTGTCCCTGCCCATGGCAGGGGGTTGGAACTTGATGATCTTAAGGTCCTTTCCAACCCTAACTATTCTATGATTCCCCACCACATAAAGCATGCCCCTCTTGGGGAGAGCATACAACTGTGCCCTTCTCCACTTTCTGCCTTACTGGAGGACCATGTCTGTCTTTACCACAGGTGTGCCTCTGAGCAGCACTCTCTTTCCTTTGTCCCTGCACTCCCTTTACCTAGTTTCAGACTTATTTGTTTTTCAAATGATTCAGTTTTGTGCCGAAAAATGAAAACAAACCTAAACACACCAACCAACCAACCAACCAACCAACCAACCAACCAACCAACCATACATAACAAAAACTGCAGGGAGATAGCAGGTGGTTTTAAACATAAGTTCCCACAGGCATGAACATCATCTAGGGCAAGGGCAGAGGTAAACCTCCAGCTGAATTCTGAGAATACCTAAGGCCTGCCACTAGTTTAGGTATGATGAATTAAGCATCAAGTCAAACAGAATACAGCATGAAAGAAACCCCTGCTCTGCCTGTGCCCTGCATACTTCACCAGGGCACAGATGGGTTTCTCTGTTATTCAGCTCTCAGCTGTTCCTGTGCTCTACAGTTCTGGAGGAAGGTGACTACTCCCCTACTCATTTTTTAAAACTAATAGCTGTTCTTCTGTTTCTTTCAAGCTCTCATTACTTTTCTAGTTTTTTCTTTTTTCAGGACATTACATGAACAGGGTTTGATCTCTTAGCACAAAACATCACTTGTCTATGGACCTAGATTGAGGCAAGTTCTTTGACAGTTTTCCTGATCCCTGAAATTCAACAATACAAATTTGTTAGTTTAGCCCGAATCCTTAAGACTGCTTGATGCACTTGTATTATCTGTTTATCTGTGTACATTTAGAAATGTTGAAGGATATTAGACACACTGAAAGAGGACTCAGGAAAAAAAAAAAAAACCCAAATCAAATAAAACATCTTTATAAACTCCATGACAAAGTATGTCCAGGTAGAGAAGAGGGGAGAAAGGAATGGGAAGTAGTTTAGCTCTTACCCACCCTGTGGAGCAGCTTCCTGCAGTCAATCAGCCCCAGCCAATATCAACTCTTGCTCAGTGGGGAATGTCATAGATGACAGAGGGGATGTGGTGTTATTGTGGCATGTAACAAAAAACAAAGAGACAAAATGTGGAATCCAGACACCATTAATTTTGCTGAGTGCAGCATTTATTCTCTTCCCAGTTCTGGTGACTGCACATGCTCTCACTGTGGAAGCACCTGCCAAGGAAACACAAGTGGCACGAGGGAACAATGTTACTCTCCACTGCCAGTTTAAAACAGAAGCTTCCATTGACTCAGGAGACATTGTTGTCTGGAGAAAACTCAATAGTGTGGTAAACTATAATAGTGTGATAAACAATAGTGTGGTAAACTGCATAAAGAAACATGATAGGGCACAGAGGAGGGGTGGCTGGGAGGGGAGATGGAAGCAGGACTCAGGGTGGGCATGTGTGTTGGGAAAAGAAAAAAAGATTCCTTCAAGACTCTCCTTAATCTCAGAATTACGCAAACAGAAACTCTGATTCTAGAGGCAATATATCCATCCGTGGGCTAATCCATCGAGTTAGATAGTAGACTCACACAGAAGAAACTAAGACTGCTAATTTCCTCTCCTTCTCTCTGAGGATGATGCTGTCACTAGGTATTTTGATGGACTTGTCCAGTACGGCAAGGGCTACAAAAACCGCATACAGTTCAGTGGTGATGTAAATGCAGGGGATGTGAGTATCACCATCAATGCAGTGACCATGGCAGACAACGGCACATATGTGTGCAGCGTGCGGCTGAGGAATGACCCCCCCCGGCAGATCACAACCTTGGCTCTTTTTGTCCTTGGTAAGCATGATGGAGGCAACACTACATCCATTAGATAGAACTATCCTTCACTTTCCCAGGAAGTCCTCATCCACAATTCTTTGGTATTTTCCCACTACTATGGAAGTAGGTTGGAAGGCTTGGAGCATCGAAATCCCTTAGATACCTGACTGCAGAAAATAGGCTTTAGAGTTGTACAGTTCACTTTTCTAGCAACCCTTGTCTCATTTCACGGACACCCCCTTGTTGTGGGGAAAGAGCTTGCGTGCCCTTGTGAAGTTGGGAGTTATGCTGGTGGTGGCTTATGCTTCCGGTAGAGTCTCCCATGCCAGTCAGCTCTTAAATGAAGGGTCAGACAAAGTGTGTCCATGGGCAGGATGGGCTCACTAGCCTTTGGGCAACCATCCTAAGGAGAAGGACAACTCCAACTTCAAACCAGGGCAGATGGAGCTCGTGTAGCCCTGTAAGGCCATCCATCTAAGAGAAGGATACTCTAATCAAACCTACAACCTGAGGACTTTGTTGTCACCGTCCAAGCTCACTAGGCCCTGGCAGATAAACCTCAGGTGTAAAGGGTGGGGCCAGTTCTGCGAACGCTGTGCCTCACCTAAAATAAATCCACTGCACAGGCCCGAAGGGTTTACCCACACTTGCAAAGCCCTGTAGCGACAGGAGAGGGATGAAACGGCAGGTGATAAGGTGCACTGGAAGTCGCAGTCCCAACCCTGCATGCAGGCGGTTCAGGACATTGGTCGCGCAAGTCTGACCCAGGAGATGACAGTCTTGTTCGGCAGCATCCTAAATGACCAAGCAGCCTTTTTCAAGGACAGCACTGCTTGCTCCGTATGGAGAGAGGCCTAGAAAAGGTTGCCTAACCAAAGCTCATCTCCCCCTCCACCTGGTTGGCCGGCATCTTCTATTGCGGTCAATTAAAGACAAAGAGACAAAGGCATACACCTGCCTCTAAAGGTGTGTCCAGATTGACACTCGCATGTTGGAACATCAGAACCATGCTTGATACAGTGAACAGTGGGCGTCCTGAGCGCCGTTCTGCGCTAATTGCCCATGAATTGTCATGACTTAACATTGATATTGCTGCTCTCAGTGAAGTTCGTCTTCATGAGGAAGGTAGCCTCAAAGAACATGGTGCTGGCTATACACTCTACTGGTCAGGCAAACCGAAAACGGAAAGTCATCTTTCTGGAGTCCGCTTCATGATTAAAAACTCCATCACCTCTAAACTTGAAAATTTGTCGATAGGTCATTCCGACCGTATTATCTCCTTACGCCTTCCACTACACAATAAGCAACATGTTGTTCTTTTCAGCATATATGCCCCAACTCTGCAAGCTGACCCTGCAGAAAAAGGAAAATTCTACTCCGACCTGCGTCACCTCACTCAAAAGGTTCCTATAGAAGATAAGATCATAATCCTTGGTGACTTCAATGCCCAAGTAGGAAAGAACTTTGAAGCCTGGAAAGGAGTACTAGGCAAGCATGGTGTTGGCAGCTGCAATGATAACGGTCACCTCTTACTAGAGTTCTGTGCAGAGCAACAACTTACCATCACCAACACTATCTTCCAGCAGAAAGACAGCTGGAAGACAACCTGGATGCATCCTCGATCTAAACATTGGCACCTTATTGATTATGTTTTAGTGCGCCAGAGAAATATTCGTGATGTCTGCCAGACCAGAGTGATGCCTAGTGCAGAATGCCAAACAGACCACCGCCTTGTGCGTTGCAAACTTAATTTCCACTTCAAGCCCAAACCTAAGAGGAGCGGCATTCCGAGGAGGAGGCTCAATGTTGATAATCTTCAAATAGCTGCAGTGAGGGACAGCTTTCAGGCTAACCTTCAAACTAGGCTTGAAGACCAACTTATAGATTCTTCTCCTGAAGCGCTTTGGCAACATATCAAAAATAGCATCCTGCAGTCCTCCGTAGAATCCATTGGGTTCTCCTCAAAGAAAAACAAAGACTGGTTTGACGATAGCAACCAGGAGGTCCAGGAATTGCTGACAAAAAAGAGATCTGCTCATCAAGCACACCTCGCTCAGCCACTGTGCCATGTAAGAAAAGCAGCCTTTCGTCTTGCATGTAGCAAACTCCAACAGAAACTTAGAGACATCCAGAACAAGTGGTGGCTCAACCTAGCAGAAAAGACTCAACTATGTGCAGATTTGGGTGACCACAGAGGATTCTATGAGGCTCTGAAGGCAGTGTATGGACCCACATTCCAGGTTCAAAGCCCCTTACTTGGTGCAGACAGCCAAACACTTCTTACAGATAAAATCTCCATCCTGAATCGTTGGTCTGAACATTTTCAAACCCTCTTTAGTGCTAATCGTGTAGTCCAAGGCGAAGGAATCCAGCACATTCTGCAACATCTGGTGAAAAACAAATTGGATTTAGCCCCTACCATGGGAGAAACTCTTAAGGCCATACAGCAGGTGAAAACTGGCAAGGCAGCTGGGGTTGACGGAGTCCCAGCTGAAATATGGAAGCACGGAAGCCAAGCACTTCACGCTAAATTTCATGAGCTAGTTGTGTGCTGTTGGGAACAAGGCAAAATACCGTCAGACTTTCGTGATGCAATCATTGTCACTCTGTATAAGAAAAAAGGTGTCAAGTCAGACTGCTCAAGCTACCGTGGTATAACTGCTCTCCATTGCTGGTAAAATGCTTGCAAGAATACTATTGAACAGACTAGTACCTGCTATCGCAGAAGAACTTCTACCTGAAAGTCAGTGTGGCTTCAGGGCTAATAGAAGTACCACAGACATGGTATTTGTTCTCAGACAACTGCAAGAAAAGTGTAGAGAACAGAATAAGGGGTTATACGTAACTTTCGTTGACCTCACCAAAGCTTTTGACACTGTGAGCAGAAAAGGCCTGTGGCTGATCTTGGAACGATTAGGTTGTCCCCCCAAGTTCCTCAAAATGATTATTCTGTTACATGAGGATCAGCAAGGCCAAGTTAGGTATGGCGATGCACTCTCTGAGCCCTTCCCAAGAACCACTGGTGTGAAACAAGGTTGCGTCCTCGCACCGACCTTATTCACAATCTTCTTCAACATGATGCTCCAAAGGGCTACGGCAGACCTCGACGAACAAGATATCATTTATATTCGATATCGTACCAATGGTAGCCTATTCAATCTAAGGCGACTGAAGGCCTACACTAAGACCCTAAACCATCTTGTCCGTGAACTGCTCTTTGCTGATGATGCCGCCCTTGTTGCCCATAAAGAAGCAGCTCTGCAGCGTTAACATCTTGCTTTGCGGAGGCGGCTGAGGTTTTTGGGCTGGAAGTCAGCTTGAAGAAGACAGTAGTCCTCCACCAACCTGCACCACAAGAAGATTATCACCATCCCCGTATTACCATCAGCGAGTCAGAGCTTATGACAGTTCAGCAGTTCAGCTATCTGGGAAGCATCATTTCCTCGGATGCCACGATCGACAAAGAGATAGACAACAGAATAGCAAAGGCATATAGAGCCTTCGGAAAACTCCATAAAAGAGTCTGGTGCAATAAACACCTGAAGAAAAGTACAAAGATCAGTGTCTGTAGAGCCATTGTATTGTCTACTCTTTTATATGGGTCTGAATCATGGCTCATCTACCGTCATCACCTGCGACTCCTGGAACGCTTTCATCAGCGCTGCCTCCGTACAATTCTAAACATCCATTGGACTGACTATGTGTCTAATGTCACTGTCCTTGAACAGGCAGGGGTCACCAGCATCGAGGCCATATTGCTGAAATTGCAGCTGCGCTGGGCAGGGCACGTCTCTAGAATGAAGGATCACCGCCTCCCCAAGATCGTGTTTTATGGTGAACTTGCCACTGGTAGCCGCAAGAGAGGTGCCCCAAAGAAGAGATATAAGGACTCCCTGAAACAATACCTTAGCCTTGGCCATACTGACTACCATCAGTGGTCCACCTTGGCCTCCAATCGGGAGACTTGGAGGCACACCATACATAATGCCGCTGACTCCTTTGAGAGCTCACGAAGAACTAGTCTTGAGGAGAAAAGACAACGCAGGAAGAATCGCGCCCCACCTGTTGCACCCAAGACCTTCTGCTGTGCTTTTTGTAGCTGGAATTGCCTATCCCACATTGGCCTTCTTAGTCATCAGCGCGCCTGTAGTAAGTGTGGGTAAAGCCCTTCCCAAATCTTCGTTCGCGAAGTCAAGCCATGATGATATCTCATTACAGGGCATTTCTCATTTCCCATATGGCTTGTCACACTCCAGTTATCAAAGGATGAGTTACCCAATACTATCAGATATCCCAAATAGCATCTTACAATTCCTTCTTGGATGATTACTGCCAAGAAGAGAGAAACAGATGTATGTTCACTTCAGTCCCTTTGAAAATAGGGTGGCAGGAGCAATACCAACCTCTGTTTAGCAAGAATAAAACACACAAGTGCAGGAGATGCGTTGAAACCAAAAAATACTTCTGATTAATAAAATTAATTCTTTTTTTCTTTCTTAAGTTGCACCATCCAAGCCAGAATGCAAGGTTTTGGGGACAGCAGAATATGGACAGACAATCAATCTGACCTGCAATTCTCATGAGGGCTCCCCAAAGCCCAGATATACCTGGCAAAGCTTCAATGTACAAAATGAGCCCCGTGCACTACAAACAACAGAAGGTATGAGAAATTCAAACACATCACCTGTCTGAGCTATTTGTAGATCAGGACTGTAAAGATTTTGAAATGTAAATACAAAAACACACTTAAGGATTTTTTTTTAGGAAGTTCTCTGACCAGGATTTTGAAAAGTTGTCCTTTGATGTAAGACACCCGAGTTACTTAGCAGGGAGAAAGAACTATCACCTGAAGTAACGATGGTCAGTAAGGTTTTCACTTCAGCTCTCATCTGGTGAGAAAGCTGGCTCACTCTGGAAGCAGCCAGAAATAATTCCTTCTCAATTTCTGGGTGTAAGAGCATAACATGAGGAATAACACTGAGGTTTGAACTGGTGTGTCTTTGTATCTCAGCTTGCTTGAAAATGACCAGGTTGGTTTCTGAGATGAAGGCAAACAAAAGTTGGCTCTGGAAGCAACAGTAGCTTTCAGAGATTACTCCTCACATAGAGAAAAGCGGTATGAGAATCAGTTACACCATTCCTGCTTTGAGCATGAGAGAGGTTTCTAGCTTAGGACTGTCACAAAGGCGCAAATATTTAATTTGTTTTCATTTTAAATCGGAATCTGGGGAAAAAAAAAAAAAAAGCCCAAAACTGATTTTCTGTGACAGGAACTTTGGTAGAACTATTCACACAGACATAAGGGTTTAATTCTCTTTGAAGAGTAGTAGTGATAGAGGACTCAGATTTATTCCTTTAAACAACTTTATTTCTTCCTGGTATGTTCAGCACGAGAAAGACTAAGTATCTGAACCTATCCTTCCTGGTATAACTTATTGTAACATCACTATGTATACTAAACATGATCATATTCAACTGTCTGTTCAGCATAATAACCGATTCTTGCATAAATTACGCAAAATACCAACCACCACCAGTGACACAAGCCTCATTCATTTGACTGGCCACTAAGTGGTGCCAACGCATCACGCACAGCCCTGGACACACCAGGCTTTGTCAGTTTGTAGCAGCAGCTGCCTTCCTGGTTCTGCCGACACCCCGTTCTTTCCTGGGACAGGGGTCTCTTCCATTTCCACCTCATTTTGCTCACCAGAGCACCGATGTCCAAGTACTGTGCCGACTGTCCCCGTCTGCCCCAAGCTGGCTGGACACCCTACTGCCACTACAAACGATTGCTTTCTGTGCTAAGCAAGTCCCAGGGCTCCAGAATGTGCAGAAGGCCCTGAGGAGCCACTCCGAAGTTGGTAGTATCCGACCCAATTCGACTCACCAGTCAATTAGTTTTGATTTAATATGGGAGTATTTACAGTCCAGTTACAGGCTGCTGCTCTGAAAGCTACAAACCTCATACTGCACCCACAAAACAAAAAGACAAGCAAGCACAGACCATATTTAGAGACCAAAATAACTCCGTCTGTTACTTCTTGCTTTGCATGCTCTTTAACTATCTGGTGCTAGACACCAGCAGTGACTATAGAGAATCCCAGTCCCACAGGTTGGCTGGAAAGAAGTGAGATTACAGGGAAAACAAAACAGGAAAGTCACCAAAAAGTATTCAGAGTCTTTTGCTTTTAGAGCTTTTATCAAGTTGATCATGGTGTAAAAGCATGTACTACACAGACAAATGTCAGCTGGAGATGTAACAAACACAGACTGACTGAGCAGGCAGAGCTAAGCTTTAGCATGTGCTTCTGAGCTCTGTTAGGCTGGACAGAAAGCATCAGTATCACAGCAATGTGATCTCATGTCATTGCATTTCTTTTCCTTCATTTACTTTTACAGCCTTCATGGCCTCTCCCACACCAGAAAACTATTTCACCCACTGCTAAATAATTCAGATCTAAAGTCCCAAGAGCTGGAGGACTGAAGAGCTTTTTGTTCTTTTACAAGTTAATTCATCAGATGGCCAGTTCTCAAAGTTAGATGCTGGTTTAGGCCATCATATATCTCTCAGCAAACTCCAATACAAAAGAGCTTTCACTAAGCACACATACCTCTTCACCCTCCACCTACAATTTTCTTTCTAAAAGGAGTGTTTGAATGCCACACATTCCCTGTAATCAGCTCAAAACAGCACACTTCTGTTTGTCCTCCCACAAATCAGACTAAAACCTAGCAATGAGCATGGCAGGCCCTGAGCAAGACAGAGCAATCCATCAGCTTTAATAACCTCTCATCACTCCAACTACCCTAGGAATTGAAAGGCTGCTGTCCCCTACTTCCTTCCCTTAATTCTTCCCTTTTTTTGGACTGGATTTGTGTTTCACAACAGGGGAACAAATAACTCTGAAGAACATCTCGGTGGATACCTCTGGCTTTTACATCTGCACTTCAACAAACATTGTGGGAAAGGAGTTTTGCAACATGACAGTCAGCGTATTGCCACGTAAGAGACAGACTTGCTTACTGGAAGAGGGGTAACAGAGAATGGAGCCTAGCTAAGTGTCAAAAGATTAATGGAGGCAATGCAGTCAGAAGTATGACATTCTCCTTTCTCTCTCTGAAAAAAAAGCACACTTTTTTACTTTTAAGTAAGATTCTCTGCATTGTTTTTTTACTAATAGAGCACTCACTAACTCTAGGGTTAGTTCACAGATGACAACAAAATGTGCAGGGTGAGGTAGGACTGAGCCCTAAGAGTCTGAAACTAAACTATATCGACTGTGTCAAGAAGTACAGCAGTTGTTCAGATCCAGGGGCTCCTCCATATCACTATTTAACTAATTGCTCCTGCAGACTTAACCAGCTATCTAGTACAGAATGAGTTCCAGTTGCTATAGTCAAACAAACATGGCTTCTACTCGGTGTGTATCTGGTAGTGAGATCTGACCTCTGGTGGTGGGATTTGAAGTCCAACAATTGTGCTGATTGCTTTGATATTGTTCTCAGTGAAAATTCAGCACTGATACTTTTCTTCCTGTCTAGCATCCATGAACATAGCTCTCTACGCTGGCATCATTGGTGGAGCTGTTGCTGCAATTACAGTTATTAGTATTTTAGTCTATTGCTGCTGCTGTCAGACAGAGAAGGAAAAGGACTATGAGATGACGTAAGTACTTTTCTCTAGAAAAACGCATGTGAGCTATGAAGGATTCAGGTTCTCCCTCCACCCTCAACACAGAGTGGAGAGCACAGGAGAAAGAAAGAAATCAAGGAAAGCATGCACTGCTTTCTCCTTTCAGTTTCTGCCCTAGTAGCTCCCAGCTCTTCTCTTACGATACGCCCACTATTACCAGACATCTTTGTGTCCTCTGGGGTACAACCAAAACGTTCAATCCTTGGAACTGAATTATCAAGCCAAATTCAGTCAAGCATGCACAACTACTTAACAAGCAAAGCCCAGACTCTCATTTCCCTGAGCCCCTACAGCTGTCTCTGTCCTTGCTAGCCTCATACAGAACCAAGGTGATCATTACCACTCCAAGACCGAAACCTTTTGTTTATTCTCATGATGGAAACAGCTGATTGGAAGTGGGATAAGCAAAGATACACCAGTCACTCTTTCTCTACATACATGCTATTAAAAAAAAACAGCAGTTCACACACCTCTTGCATCACAAGTGAGACTTAATTTCTGGAGTTCAGTTTGGTACACTTGCAGGTCAGCTTGGGGCAGTCTAAAACCCTTCTAACACAAAACATCTTCAGCAACATCTCTATCCCTCAACAATGTTTTAGGGAGCAAGAAGATAAAAGTGAACACTCCAAGGAGACACCTGCAAGGCATCTGAGAGCAGAGGATGATGTTGAAGATGAATGAAGAAAGAAGCAAGAAGCCAGTGCCATCTTCAGGCTTTAATGAGGCACAGACACCACTGCAGAGAAGAAACCAATCCCTCGTTTTTACTGCGAGATTTTTCAGAATAATAAGGTGAAAGCTGATGGCTCTGCCTTCCAAGTTCTGGAAGAGAATTCTTGTCTCTCTGGAAAGAAGTGATTACATATAGTGAGTACGTAACCTCATAGCAGAATATGCATTTGAGGCATGGCTTTATCCAGTCATCTAAAAATAACCAGTCTTCTAGACTTCCCACTCCCTCAAAAAAGAAGCCAGTCAGGACTATTTGGAAAACAGAGTTACTGCTGTATCCCCAGCTCCACAGAAGCTTTCAAGGTCACCAACATCAAGTCATCAAGGAAAAGCTGTCTAGTTCGTGGTGTTACACATGTGCCATAGCTTACAGCATTGTCCAGTACAGAAATTGTTTTATGCAGACTGAAGTGAGCTGATTTTGAAGGACATTTTACTGAATGCATTATCTGTATATATTATACATGCACATATAAATAAAAATAAGGAAACCATTCACAGATGACCAATGAAAGTCTGTTTGGAACAACAATACACACTAATGGAATGGATAAGGTAATAATTTAGATGAATTTGTAATTTATCATTCCCTCCCGACTGTTGCATGGGCAAGTCACTAATAATCCATTGCTGCCACTTCTGAAAAAATGACAGTGTGAGAAGATGTACATGGCAAACACATCGTCAATAAAAGGGGGTGGGGGGACAGACAATGACAGACTGAGAAAAAGTACCATTTTATTAAAAATTGTAACAATTTAATCAGCAGCACTGTATGTGCAAATATTGAGAGAACTCCCATCACTAGTTTATCATCTTTGGAACAGAATGGGCTGTCTTTGTCCAAAAAACTGGCAAGATGGTATTAGAACAGTATTAGAGCTGTTTGAGCTGTTTTTGTTTATTTCATTTGGGTTTTTGGTGGTTTTTTTTTTAGGACATGTTCAATAACTTACATGACAATATTTATTCTTTCAAAGGTCTCTACAGCATTGTCTCGGAATCACAGAATGGTCTGGGTTAGAAAGGGCCTTAAAGCTCATCCAGTTCCAATCCCCTACCATGGGCAGGGACACCTTCTGATACAGCAGGTTACTTCAAGCCCTGTCCAACCTGGCCTTGAACACTGCCAGGAATGGGGCAGCCACAGCTTCTCTGGGCACCCTGTGCCAGCACCTGACCACCTTCACACAGAATGTCTTCCTTATGTCTAATCTAAATCTCTCCTCTTTCAATTAAAGACATTGCCCCTTGTCCTGTCACTATATGCCCTTGTAAAACTCTCTCCTGTGTTCCTGTAGGTACTGTAAGGCTGCTACTTCTTCAAATTCAGGAGTTTAAGAGAATTCCTGCAATGCCTCCCCCATACCCTTTACCCCCAAAGTCATTGCTTTTAGGTGTGTAAGAAAACTCTAACATCTAACTTGCAAGTAGTAAAGATTTCTCTTGCTTTAGACATAACAAACTCTGGTAACTTAAAATGCAGATCCTGAAACTGACACAAGTATTAAGGTCACAGACCTCAGGAGTGCAGAGACTTCCCTTCCCACACATCAGGAAGGCCGCAAGAAGGACTTCTGTGCACGCATCTGAATGAGAATGGGGAGCTGGTCATAAGGGACAAAAGGGCAGCAAAGGGACTGAATGCCTTCTTTGCCTTAGTCTTTACTGGTAAGATCAGCCTTCCAAAACAAATTTCAAAATTAAAGACATCAAATTCAGCTATTACTGTATCTACAGTATGTGTATGTATTTAGGAGAACATTTCTGCTACAGCAGAATTCTTGTAACATTCTTAGCAGTCAGAGGTTAATAGGAACTTCTAGCATACCTAGCTTCTACAGTTCACTGAAAGAAGGTGGACAAGCCATAAATGCACACCAGTCAAATTCATAGTTTCTACTACACAGAAGCAGTAGCTGCTGATTATTCCAGATGAACATGGTTTATTTTTCAGAGTCAGTTACACACTCTTCAAAGAGAATGTAAAAGAATATGTTGCTACAGGTTAATATCCTGATGTCATAGACTACATCAACAACATTGTTACCAGAGTCCATTGCGTTTTCATGAGCCTTAGACAACTATTCTCCCAGCCAAAGCTTTTATAGTAGAGAACAGTAACACACAATTCAACAATGAGTACTATTCATGTAACTAGAACAAAAATACATATTAATTTTGTAATGTGTATGCAAACCCAGAATGACTTTTACCAATGACTGTCAGGACTGAGTGAGCTACCCTAATAAGAGGGCACAAAATCAGGTCTCACAGAATCTGTTAAATGTCTCCTTTACAAAAACAACTCCTTAGTTCAATTACCTGTAACACCCATATGCAGAGTACTAAGTTGCTGTTACTTTTTACCACGTGGAAATTACATGTTTAAAGCTCCCAGGCTGCATCACTCGAACTCAGCTCAAGAGCCACTGTGCCTTTACTTGGTTTTACTTCCCCTTGAGAATTTTGCCATGCAAGTGGAGAGAATTCTATTCCAATTTTAACCCCCCATTTATGCCTTACCAGTACTATTCCTTGTACTTAAGAAGTGTGCTAAGGTTGTAAGCCATCATCTTTCCCTCACCTTTACTTTTCCATTAAAGGAGAGAAGCATTACTGCATTGTGCTTCCTAGGCAGAATTTATTTTTCAGGGAATCAGAGATTCAAACTGCAAGACCACCAGGGAAGCAGAGCTGCCAAACAAATGAATTTTCCATCATCCTGCAACAGTTGTTAGGAATCCCTCTCAATACATACAGAACAACAGTATTAAGTTAATGTACTCATTATATAGATTTTACAGTTTTCACTACCAGAACCACCACAGGTTTTTGGATACTAGGGCAAGACAGTTACTGCCCTAGTTAACAGCCCACTGCCTACCGGTAAGACTACCTGTAACTAGGTCTTCCATAGCTTATGTACTATTTTAAGATACTGGTGATAAGGTATAAACATGCCATGGGACTATAACTCCGTATTTGTCCATTTTTGCTCAGATTCTTCATCTCGGTCTTGAAGATAAACAGCATCTTAAACATAATAATGAATGCTCTTTGGTTTGTGTACTCTAAATATGAACAATAATGAATTCTCGTCTTCATAAGAACTGAAACATGAAACTTTTACTGCAACACCAACCTCTGGAAAGAATTCAGACACACAGTTCTGTATGCTCTGAAGTATCAATGCAGCAAGAGCTATCAATTAAGAAGCCTAAAATTTTAAAAACTCTATTCCAATGCACAGAAGCCCTTACCACTACTAAACTGACATTCTTACTCATTACAACATCCCCAGACACTTAATTGATACATCGCAGGCTTAGACACTTATTGTCCCTTACTTGGTGGAATTCGGCAGGTAGAACAGAAGAATTCAAGAAAATTTAGTGATACAGGCAAACTTAGGTAAGAGGCATGAAAACAGGTCAGTGATCCTGCAGTACTGGGAGATGGGCATTAACTGGCCACACAGCAACTGTAACAGGTTTCCAACTAAACAACAATTGGCCTTTTTTAAACTTCCTGATCAGCATGCTCAAACTTATTCATAAATGCGCTGACCTCTTATTTTGAGTGTGTTGTGTTTGGGTTTGGCTTCCATGATGGGCCCTCCCATCATGCAGAAGAATAAGCTACCTTATCTTCAGTTTCAGTTCCTACAAGGAATGCAATAGCTATCTTCTCACAGTTGCTATGGAAACAGTATTTCACAACTGGACCTCTGTTGGAACAAAATGTAGAAACAACTGAAAAAAATAATCTCGTTTCTGACAATCAGTTAGTTCCTTAAAGACACACAGACTAAGGACAAGGCTCTGTCAACAGACAACTTTTTGGGAACTAGTTCAACACTTATACCTCTATAAAATGAAACAACTAACTTCTTAAGGATACTTCAGTCTCCCAGTTTTTATGTGCCCCCAAATAATTTGTGACTGGTATCTCCTCAGCATGACTAAGCTTGTGAAGTTATATCTGCAGATTCATGTATCTGCTGGAATTTGATATTCCATTCAAAAATACCCGTAACATCTAAACTTGTCTTCAGTCTCTAACTTTGAGGGACATACATTGTTTTGAAACAAAAGCTGATGCAGAAGGAAAAAAAAATCTGTACTGTACTTGCTCCTGATGTATATAACCTGTGCCTCCAAAAGAACATTAGTAAATGGACACATTTTCACCAAGTTTCTTCCAAGGCATTTCATAGCAAGTCTTTCTGCCTTGAATGGCCACTCAAATTTTTTGTGTCTAGAACTGACAGATTTACAGCAAACCTTCAAGACTGTTACACCTTTTAATTCCCCTATTGCAGCCCTTCCTACCTTCGGTGCTGCCACCCCACCCTCCCCCTCCCCATCACTTCTTGGGGAAGAAACTTTTATGAAGTTATGTCTTCCACATGCAGGAGAGGGCAAGGAGGTTATGAAAAAAAATAAAGCACTTGTTTAAAATTACACAGACCACTAATTACTCTTCTAATCCAGTGATATCGACTAATCAATCTTGAATTTGAACTCCACCCTGTAAGAAATAGAATGAGTATGGCATATATTTTTAAAGAGAAGACACAACTATCAGATCCCTTCAAAGTAAGTATTCCTGTAGATAATGAGATTTTGGTTGTCTTTAAATCTGGTCAATAGTTTTACCATTCTAACAAGAACTTGAACTGTCAAAGTTTGCACATAAGATGAAACACTGCAAACTGGAAAAAACTGCTGGTTATCTTAGGAAAACAAGGAAAAGTACAATTTACAGCTGTCCTGGATGTAAAAAAGACCTTCAGTTACTGAAATGCTTGGTTAGATTAGATGCACTTTTCAGCAGTTGAGTAATTCCTCTTCCTCGCATGATGCTTGTTCCATAAAGGGAACAGGTCTTCACACCGCACGGAGAATCACCTATTAAATTAAATACAGTTTGTAAATCAAATCAGCCTTCAAAGCTCACATAAGTTAATGGACTAGTACTTCACAGACTGTGGAGCTGAACCTATTCAGCAGCTCTAATATGAAAAGTCAGAGAGAGAGGTTGTGTCTTCTATGAACACTAAGACCATAAGAAATCATGATTTTTAGTTGCAACAGTTAAGAGTTTGAATTTGAATTAAGTTATCTGACACTGCAGCATCTATTTCATATGCAAGGAAATAGGCTACAAGCTTAGAATTGCTACAATTATTTGTCTTGCAAACTGGATTATGTTCCTCTGAAGATGAGCTATGAACTACCTAGATGAATTGAGTTCATGTGCCTTCCATTAAGGAAATTTCATCTCTAAAAACAAGACTTTAAATGAGCAGTCTTGATAAACTAAGTTATAGTGGAATACTTGCAACAAATATTAGCTGAGCCTTCACATATAATTATTTGAGAGCAAGGAGAGCATTTTAAAGATGGCCCTGCCTCAAAGCACTTAAGCATATAAGAATGGATATCATATAGCAGAAAAATAAGGAGGTATGAATCAGAAAGCAAAACTTATAGGAAAATTACATTTTGAGAGACCTTTCTAACCCCAATATTGTGTCCAATAAGAAAAGGATAACTCTGTCTTCAGAAATTCAGTGAAAGCCATATTCAGGAACAAATGCAGCTTATGCAGAGGTGTTTAAGCTTTATGTTACTTACAGATAACATCTAAACCCAGAAACTTGAAAAAGCATCAACTGAGTTAACTTTAAATACATCTTTCCCCTTATAAATGCGAAAGTATCAAACTCACAATGAGAAGGGACAAACTCTTGATGCCAACTTGGAGAAGCAAAATGTCGGTCACATGCAGGACCCTCAGCCTTCATATTCTGTATAAAGAAATAAACATTCAAAATAATCTGTGTGCCTTTTAAAATGCAGCATACACAACTATCCATGAAACCTACCAATTACAGTCAAAACTCACAAGTACTGACCCAGCTAGTGATTATTTTTATTTCATTAGTCTTACCAATATATGTCACAAAGCATCCAAAGAGAAAACAGCTAAGCTAAAATTGGCAAATCTGAACACTTAAGTAAGAATGAAACAGGGTATCAGTTTAAAGAATCTGACCTGAAAACGTCCAGCATCCAATATCACCATCTTGGTATTTGTGCTTTCACCATTATCAAGGTCTTGAAGAGGCAGGTGAGCTGCTGTCAGTGAGACTCCATATGCACTAGCTAAAGATTTACTGATGCAGTAACTTTACAGAGAAAAAAAAAAACAAAACAAAGCAAGAATTTAGCTAAGAGGGCTGTAATGCTCATGTACAGAAGTAGAGCATTTTTAATTCTTCAGCTGGCAAACAAAGCAACCACAGATGCACAGAGCAGAAGCTAAACAGTTACCCTACATCCTTCCAAGGCCACTAGTCTATTCTACAGCTACACATGAAATTAAACAGTTGCTTCCCCAAACTATCAAATGCAGTCAATTAGAAGGGTGAAAAGCCATATTCTTTTCACAAGACATAGCAGTACATAAGAAGCTTCTGAATGAAAGACTATTCATTATCATCTCCCTCAAACTGCTGCCGAGTGTGATCTCAAATTGCATTTCCTTGTGTCCAAAATGTTTACTTTCCCTTTCCTCACACCTGACAAATTTTAGAGCCTTATGTATTCATGTTATATGTAAGGCAGTATGAAAGTTTTATATGAGTTTATAAAAGTCTATAGAAGTTTTATAAAAGTTTATAAAAATTCTATGAGTTTATAAAAGTCTATAGAAGTTTTATAAAAGTTTATAAAAATTCTATGAGTTTAAAGCCTCCTCAAGGAGGCTTTAAACTAGACATGCTGGGGGAGGGAGGCATCATTCCATCCCAACACACCCAGTCAGTTGCCAGCACTTACAATAAATGCTCAGAGCAATGTAGATATATTCCAGCTGCTCCAGCCAATGAGCCAGCTTAATTTGGAGCTCAGCTCAGATGCCTCTATACAAACGCCCATAGCATGGGGAACGAACAAGAGGAATTAGAGATGTGTTCATGTCTACGGGGGTATGATATACTAGGCATCACAGAAATATGGTGGGATGGCTCCTATGACTGGAGTGTTGGAATGGAAGGTTACAGACTCTTTAGAAAAGACAGGCCTGGCAGGTGTGGAGGGGGAGCTGCTCTTTACTTTAGGGATAGGCTGGAGAGTATCAAACTCTCTCTGGGGACAGATGATCAGTTAACAGAGTTTGTGGGTCAGGGTTAAAGGGAAAACAGTGATGGGAGACATTACTGTGAGGATCTGTTACAGACCACCTGATAAAGAAGAACCTGCAGATGAAGCACTCTATAGACAGATAGGAAAAGCCTCAGGCTCACAGGCCCTCGTTCTCATGGGTGACTTCAACCACCCTGACATCTGCTGGAATGATGGTACAGCCCAGCACAAGCAATCCAGGAGGTTCCTCAATTGCGTGGAAGACAACTTCTTTCTGCAAGTAATAGAGGAGCTGACAAGAAGAGGTGCCATGCCTGACCTCGTGCTCACCAACAGGGAAGGGCTCGTTGGAAATGTGGTGCGCCAGGGCAGCCTTGGCTGCAGCGATCACGAGATGGTCAAATTCAAGATCCTCAGGACAGTGAGAAGAGCGTGCAGCAGGCTCACTGCCCTGGACTTCAAGAGAGCAGACTTTGGCCTCTTCAGGAACCTGCTCAGTAAGGTTCCATAGGATATAGCCCTAGAGGGCGCTGCCTCCCTGGCAGAGCATAAGGCTCACAAAGTCCTTGGCTAAACCAAAACGTAATTATTATCAGCTCTGTTCCCAGCCCAAAAGTCAAAAACACAGCACTACATCAGCTACCAAGAAAGAGAAAAATGACTGCTACTGCTAAACCCAGGACAGGGGCCCAAGACTCTCGGCTCATATTCAAGGATCACCTGATACAAGCTCAGGAGTGCTGCATCCCAACTAGAAGGAAGTGCAGCAGGAGGGACAGGAGACCTCCTTGGAGGAATAAGGAGCTGCTGAGGAAAATTTAAATGAAAAAAGAGGTTTATAAAAAGTGGAAGCAAGAACAGGCAGCCTGGGAAGAGTACAGCGATGTTGTCTGGGAAGCTAGGGACCAGGTTAGAAGAGCTAAGGCCCAGTTAAGAATTAAACTTGGCTAGGGATGTTAAGGATAACAGGAAGGGATGCTACAGGTACGTAGCACATAAAAAACAGACTAGGGACAATGTAGGCCCCTTCTGGAAGCTCTCATGAGAAATGGCTACACAGGATTTGGAGAAGGCTGAGGTTCCGAATGACTTTTTTGCCTCGGTCTTCACTGGCAAAGGCTCTGACCGCACCACCCAAGTTTTGGAAGGCAGACGCAGGGACTGTGAGGATGAAGACCTTGGGCCCACTGTAGGAGAGGATCTGGTTCGAGACCATCTTAAAAACCTGAACCTGCACAAGTCCATGGGACCTGATAAAATCTGTCCACGGGTCCTGAAGGAAGTTGAAGTCCTGAAGTGAATGAAGTTGCTAAGCCTCTGGCCATCATATCTGAAAAACCATAGCAGTCAGGTGAAGTTCCCAACGACTGGAAAAAGGGAAATATAACCTCCATTTTCAAGAAGGGGAAAACGGATGACCTGGGGAACTACAGACCATTCAGTCTCACCTCTGTGCCTGGCAAAATCTTGAGAGCAGATTCTCTTGGAAGGCATGCTAAGGCACATGAAAAACAAGGTCCTTGTTGACAGCCAGCATGGCTTCACTAAGGGGAAATCCTGCCTGACCAATTTGGTGCCCTTCTATGATGGGGCTACAGAACTGATGGACAGCGGTAGAGCTGTTGATGTCATCTACCTGGACTTGTGCAAAGCGTTAGACACTGTCCCACATGACACCCTTGTCTCTAAATTGGAGAGACATCAATTTGATGGATGGACCACTCTGTCGATAAAGAACTGGCTGGACGGCCGCATGCAAAGAGTTGTGGTCAATGGCTCAATGTCCAGCTGGAGACCTGTAACGAGTGGTGTCCCTCAGGGATCAGTGTTGGGACCGATCTTGTTCAGTATCTTTGTCGCTGACATGGACAGTGGGATTGAGTGGGCCCTCAGCAAGTTTGCCGATGACACCAAGCTGTGTGGTTCGGTTGATACGCTGGAGGGAAGGAATGCCATCCAGAGAGACCTTGACACGCTTGTGAGGTGGGCTGATGCCAACCTCATGAGGTTTAACCATGACAAGTGCAAGGTCCTACACCTGGGTCAGAGCAATCCCAGGCACAGCTACAGGTTGGGCAAAGAAAAAATAAGATTCAGAGCAGCCCTGCAGAGAAGGACTTGGGGATGCTGGTCGATGAGAAAATTACCATGAGCCAGCTTCAGTGTGTGCTCACAGCCCAGAAAGCCAACAGTATCCTGGGCTGCATCAAAAGGAGTGTGACCAGCAGGTCAAAACAGGCGATTCTGCCCCTCTACTCTGCTCTTGTGAGACCTCACTTGGAGTATTGTGTGCAGTTCTGGTATCTTCAACATAAAAAGGACATGGAACTGTTCAAACAAGTCCAGAGAAAGGCCAAAAGGATGATCAGGGGACTGGAGCACCTCCCATATGAAGATAGGCTAAGAAAGTTGGGGCTGTTCAGCCTGGAGAAGAGAAGGCTGTGTGGAGACCTCACAGCAGCCTTCCAGTATCTGAAGGGAGCATATAGGGATGCTGGGGAGGGACTTTTCATTAGGGACTGTAGTGATAGGACAAGGGGTAATGGGTTAAAACTTAAACAGGGGAAGTTTAGATTGGATATAAGGAGGAAATTCTTTCCTGTTAGGGTGATGAGGCACTGGAATGGGTTGCCCAGGGAAGTTGTGAGTGCTCCATCCCTGGCAGTGTTCAAGGCCAGGTTGGATGAAGCCTTGGGTGAGATGGTTCAGTAGGAAGTGTCCCTGCCCATGGCAGGGGGTTTGGAACTAGGTGATCTTAAGCTCCTTTCCAACCCTAACTGTTCGATGATTTTAAGTTCCCAAAGTAGACATATACTAGAAAATATTGAGAATGTCTCACCAAATACAGGTATACTAAACCTCTACAGAAATTCAATGAATTCTAATGTAATTGACACTTCTCTCAACTCTCCAATAGTAAGTGGATGCCCTGGGTTCAGCTGTAGCAGTCATTTTTCTCAGTAGCTGGTACAGTGCTGTGTTTTTGACTTTCAGCCTGGGAACAGCGCTGATAACACCAATGGTTTTAGTTGCTGTATAGTAATTATTTAGTCTGACCAAGCACTTTCTGAGTTTCATACTCAGGAGGGGAGGAGGGGGAAGCTGGGAGGAAGCAGAGACAGGACACTTGACCCAAACTAACCAAAGAGGTATTCCATACCACAGCACATCATGTTCACTATATCATCTGGGGGCAGTTACCTGGAAGGGTTAGATTGCTGCTCAGGTCAGGCTGGGTATCAGTTGGTGGGTGGTGAGTGGTTGCATTCTCCTGTTATTTCCCTTATCATCATTTTTATTGGTGGCAGCAGTAGTGGTTTGTGTTATACCTTAGTTACTGGACTGTACTTATGTCAACCAGTGGGAGTTACATTCTTTTGATTCTCCTCCCGATCCCTTTGGGAGGTAAGGGGGGGAGGAAGGGAGGGGAGTGAGAGAGCAGCTGTGTGGCTGGGCTTAAACCACGACAGTGGAGGTAGTGAAAAGATGACAAGAGCAATGGATTAGTATCACAGAAGTTACATTACATCTAAGTGCTAAGACTCACAGCATAGTGTGTAAGCCACATAAACAACAGCTGAAGTTAGAACAAGATCTTGAGAGTAAAGAGAATAAAATGAAACTTAAGATCTACAACAGGCCGTCAGAGAAGCCAGAGCCAAAAAAGTGTCTCTATGGCAAAATCAAAAGTCATCATAATGGAGATAACTCCTTAGCAATACTTACACAATCTTCTTACAGGATGCCAAAGCACAGCAGAGTATGTCATTCTCTTCATGCCACTTGCACCTACATGAAATCAAGTTCAGGTTTATTTCAGAAGCATCAGCATTTTTAATCAACATTAATAGCTGAGTCTGGTCAGAAGAAACAGGAACAAACATTTAAGATTTTTGTCTCAGTGACCTTATAGTACCTTTACAATTTCACAGAGGACCAGTACTCAACAAGGAAGCTCTAAGTGGTTTATGAAGAGTTAAAAGGCATGCATAAAGGCAACCTGTTTCATCCTGAGGTGGGAGGAAAGAGAGGAAAGAGAACCCTGTAAGACAAAAGGGATTTAAAGGTAATAAATTAAAGTTTCACATTAATGTGAAACCGTTCCTTTTAGTATAAGCACTTCACTTGCCTCTCCACATGTTTGTTTTAAAATACATTTTCCCACTCTTCAGGTGTCCCTCCAGTGTAAAAATACTCATGGAAATGGAAAACTACCTGTCTATAAAAATATAGTGTGACAACTATTATCCCAATGGATCTTAAAATCCACCCTGTAAGGAGACTTCAAACAATAGCGTTTTCTTATTTTAATGATCTACTAAATTTTAAGATCAAATTATTGGTTCTTACAGTAGCAAAGTTAAAGCGTATTTCCATGACTAAACACAGCCCAAGCTAAATCCACCACAAGCTATATACCACTTAGTTGTACAATACAGAAGCACCTGAAGGCAGGAAGAGCTTTACTGTCCAAGACACATTAAAAATAAAAAAATTAAAAAAACAAAAAAACAAACCACACACAAAAAAAAACCCAAACAAAAAAAACTCACCAAAACCAAAACCAAGCAAAAAAAAAAAATCCAAAAAAAAGCAACACCTAAAAAAAAACCCACAAAAAACACCAAAAGCAAAACAAGAAAACAAACACACACACAGAAAAAATCCTACAAAGTAAATACAATTCCAGATATGTAACAAAGAACACTCATTCTGAAAGAAAAAAGACAAGATTGAACTTTGAACACTTAGGTTTGAGAACTTGATTTGCACCACTAGCAAATATATCTTGCCCTCATCACTGCAGCAGCATGAGGCATTTGATACATAACAGTAACAGGCAGGTCCCATCCAAGTTACACCTCTAAGAGTCTCAGTCTTACCACTTTTATGATTTCCAGTTAACCACCACAATATATTTTATTCCCATTTTGACACCCTCCTTTAAACTGGGGCTCAGGCTCAGCACTAAAAAGCACTTTACACTTCTTTTGGGAAAGAATATTCATTTCCAGTTGTACTCATAATGCAATAAGGATTCAGAAGCTTGCAGAACATTCCAACCTTGCAACTTACAAGCTGTACTGCAGGGCACCAGGACACACCAGGCTACTACATGCTTTCACAAAGAGCACAACATACCTGGTATTACTGGAAAAGTCCCACAGGAAGGCATCCAGTTCTCTACACACCCAAGTCTTGGATGGCTCCTTTTGGTATTTCTTCTGGTGCAGCTCTATTACCAGGTCCTCTACATCAAGGAGCTCCAGGTGGCTTTCAATGCCTATAGCTCAGAGAACACCCAGGTCAGAATGGAAGTCAGTGAAGGTAGAGTGGAAGGTGCCCCTGCCCACGGCATGGTGTTGGAGCTAGATCATCTTTAAGGTCCCTTCCAACCCAAACCATTCTGTGATTCTATGAATATTCTTCTTAGCTCACTTCTCAGTCTGTCCCTGTTCATTGTCGAGCCTCTTACCAAAGCACTGAAGATCTAGTAAAGCTTAAGAAGTTATCCTACCAGTGGTTTTACTAAAACCTAGCTTCTTAGAAAAGTGGGCCATCTTATATTCCCACAATTTCCCTCCACCTCAATAATAATGTTAATCTGCTTGCAGGCTAGCTCTCCTCAGAAGCTGTTAGAAACACATGGCAAAGCTATCTGCTCACCTTCACAATAATCTCACTGCCTCTAGTGCTCCTTTAAGTGGCTGAGCAAGAAAAGAGTGTATATATTCTCTAGATGTGCTCATTTAACCAGCAAGCTGCTCATGCTGCCATTTTACTATCACTGATGGGGAGGAAAAGAAGCAGCAGCACACAAAACAGTTCTAGGTACCAGTACCAGCTTCTATGAAACCTCTGAGACCCCAAGATTTTCGACAAATACAGTTGTCCACAAGTACATAATCTTTCTTTGGGGAGAAGGATAGAAGGGGGAGGCCAAAAATGATCCATTTCTCACCTGTGATGCTAGCCATTCGATTGAGACACCAGCTAATTCGAAACCTGTCATTAGACTAGAGGAAAGAAAATTTCAGCCACATTGAAGAAGTGCAGTATATAATTCTGACATCTGCAAGACTTGACTATGTCTGAAAAGGTCACCTCCAAAACAAAACTCAGTGTCTGTGGGACTGAATGTACACTCTTCCTGAAAATCATCTTGAAGAGGAACCAAATATCACAGAGGCTTTCCAACCAAACCCCAGGAGAAATTCTGGAAATTAAAGGTTAACACATAATACATTCCTTAAGTGCTCTATTTATTTTTTTTTTTAATGTGTATTTCTTCAGAGCTCCCTATATTTATGGATGGAGCCCAGGATCTTGACCCTCCCTGCCTTTTTAAGGATATTAGGCTTAAATAGAATCAAAAGATAATACAGCTACTATAAAGCTTAAAACAGCTCCGAGTCCTAACATTTAATTTTGCTCATTGGCAAATTAAACTTGAGCAAAAAATTAACATGTACAGTATTCTCATGTGGAAAGACAAAAACATCCCTTAAAAAAAAGTAGGTCTATTATTCAGCACAATCAATTTAGCATTGATCTTAAAAGCCCTTAACCCAAGTCAGAACAATGTTAAGAGACCAAGTGAAATGCTGACCAGTAGACCAGAGCCAGAAGTGCAGGCTGAAAATAAGAAGGCAGAAAATTAGGTCTTTGCTTTATGGAACTGGGAAGCTTTGGAAAAGAGTATCCTTTCCCATTCATGGGCACACTGACTAGGCTTTAGAGGGGGATCTTCCTAGTCATCCAACAAAAGTGAAATTACAGGTTTTGATCTAAAGCATCTTACTTTGACCTTGACCATACCCTGCAGTAAACGCGAGGCCAAACACCTCTGGCTGGGTGGACAAACTCAAGAAGTTCCCATAAGACAACCGCATAACAAGTACGTGGAAGATGAAATCCAGATATAGGGATCTTGTGAGTGGCATCACCTGGGTAGGACAAGGAAAAATTTACAAGTCCTGCTTCCTTAAATGATCAGAGCTCCCCCCCACTTTGTATCTTTTTATATACATACACGTATACACAAAAGCACACCTCCTGTGATCTACAGGCAGGGTCTCAGATTAAGCTATTAAAATCTGCTTCTTTCAGCAGAAGACTGGCGGGTGTGGGCTGTGAGCAAACATGCACACACCCCTTTTAAAAGCCCATTATCTAAGTGTTTGATATAGGAAAACATGGGCCAAGTTTGTTCCCTTTATACACAACAGGAGGAAATGTCCTAATAAAACAAGCTGGAATCTATAAACACTGAAGAATCACAAGGGAAAGAAGGCAGGCCAAGCCAGACAGAACAAAGTTAACAAATACTTTTGACTTTGTCAATACATGCAGAGCTGCAAACATAAGTTCTATATACAAACAAGTATCTTTGAGTTAACCAATTATGAATTAGCGCTTCATGCTGAAGATACACACATGGACTATCAAAGAAAGGATGCTCTACTCAGATAGCCTTGAAAGCTTTTGAAGCCATACAAGGTTGTCCCATTTAAGAACATATTGCAGTTACTATTAAATTAAAATAGAAAGACAGAATACAAATAACTGCCATTGAACAATTTTGGGTGTGTGCTCTGCCATTTGTGGGTACAGGAAACATAAAAGGTGAGCATGACAAGCTGCTCTGTCACTCCATTCTCTTTGAAATTTGTGAAGTGCCCAGCAGGAGAAACTGCAGGCTCAGAAGACATCTGGATACAGATGAGGTAAACAGAGTCTAAGCCTGTACACCTCTGCATACCGTTCTTTTTTTCCAGTGATACTCACTAGCAGCCTGGCAGTGGTACCGAAACCCACGTGGTGGTACTTCTGCAGAAGAGCAGGGGAGATGGAAAAAATAAACAACCATCATCCAACATCCACTATGAGAGACCCTTAACTCTGAGCTAGGCACCACAGTTTCATGTACAGAAAGGAACAACTTAACCTTCCCTTACGGCCTTGCGCAAGTGCCACAACTATTTTTGCAAAAAGTTCTTTTGAATTATATGCATTAAAAAAAAACAAGTATATTGTATAGTGTGTGTGTTTAGGTCAAATCAAGACAAACATTCACTGCCATGAAGTATAAAGCACAAACATCTGAATGTCCTCCTGGATTTATTTTACACTTTCTGCAGCTTCCTACATTCCTGACGCTTAAGTCCATGTCTTCAGGAACAACCAGCACAGCTCTGATATTTTAAGAAGTCCAACCCTTTCACTTACAATCAAAGAATAAAGCCTTTCTTAATACCAGAAATCTAATCTGGGCAGTAGTAACTGACATTGGAAAAACCTCCCTCTCACCCCAAAGCAACATAAGCTACATCTTGTCTCCCTTCCTTTGAGCTCACCTGGCTCTATGAAGTGATGGAAATCAGCCATTATGCCATCCTGCAGGGAGTACTTGACGCACCCAATCTCACAAGGCAGGAAGCGCTGTTCACAGTGGGATGGCAGCTTGCCATGGCTGTAAATGTTCAGGAAGTAGAAAATGTCTACAAGTACAGCTGAAAGGGAAAAAAAATAAATTCAAAAGAGCCACCAAAAGTTGCAGCAAGCCATCCTGGCCACGCCTCATCCAGCAACAGTTTCTGTGTGCTTTCTTACACAAGTGTACAAAAGAGGGTAATAACCAAGTAAAACACACAGCTCTTCCTCTGTATTGGAGGCAAGGTAACTAATACTTATGCAAGAGTCAGGCATCTTGACAGCTCTGGTGTATCTTCCATAGATGCTCATGTGCGTAGCAACAGGGTCAGAATAAAAATTAAAATAAATAAAAGCACTTAAAATTAGACCACAAACCAACAAGAACATTGAGAGGCCTGGAATCCTACTATTGCTTTTCATGACAGGTCTCTTCACCCTTTAGGAAAATCAGGTTGGGGGGGGGGGGGGGGGAACCAAACCAAAAACCAACCCAATCATAAACTACTAAGCTTCACAAGCCCAATTCAGTAACTTACACAAGTCAAATGAGCTGATAATATTCTGGGGTAGGAGGAGATAAGAAACCTGCCAATTAAAAAGACTGCTTCTCCTCTGCCAAAAAAGCTCCCAAAGGCAACAGCAAGAACACCCAAGGCAAATGTTAATAAATAAATTTGTTTACTAATTTAAAGAGCATCCAAATATGAAAAATATTTCACAATAGACCTTAATCTTTATGAGCATCACCGAGCATTCTCATTCAAATTTAAGGTAGCTGTTTAATCCTTATGCTTAAACTCTTATCTCTCATCAAAAAATCCTACATTTCTGTCCTGAGTTCAGCACTACTAGTCATTTTTATCCTTCTTAGTGCTGTGTTTTCAACTTCAGCCTGGGAACAGTACTGATAACATACTGATGTTTTTAGTTGTTGCTAAGTAGTGCTTACTCTGATTAAGGACTTTTCAGTCTCAAGCTCTGCCAGTGAGGAAGGACGCAAGAAGCCAGGAGGAAGCAGAGAAAGGACACCTGACCCAAACTAGCCAAAGGGGTATTCCATACCACAGCACATCATGCCCAGTACAGAAACTGAGGGGAGTCACCCAAAAGGCCCAGATTACTGCTCGGGTTGGGCTGCGTATCACTCAGTGGGTGAGGAGCAATTGTATTCTTTCCCTTTGTTATTTCCCTTATTATTATTGGTGGTAGCAGATTTGTATTATACTTTGGTTACTGGACTGTTCTTACCTCAACCCGTGGGATTTACATTACTGCGATTCTCCTCCCCAGCCCTCTGGGAGTGGGAGGAAGAAGTGGGCGGAGCAAGCAATTAGCTGTGTGGTTCTGAGTTCCTGGCTGCATTTAAACCACGACAATTTCCTACTGAATAATAGAGATCTGCAACTGATTTTACACAGAAACAATGCTGTATAGATGCCTGACTTTATGCCACTGAACACCAGCTATCCTAAGCTTGAATGCCAGTGCTCTCTCACATGGGTCTTAAACTTCACAAGCTGTAGGGTCATAGGAAAGATAGCTCTCCTACCTGAGCCTGAACTGCTTTCCTGTGAAAAAAAGTCATATAGCTACAGGGAACCATACAGGACTTCTATAAAAAAATATTAAGGAGTAGCATCATAAAATGCATCTTGGTTACCCTTTATCATTGTACCTCTCATTCAGTTTTAAAGATCAATTGTGCCAGCTCAAGCCATGACCAACCTGATCAGATCTGCATCACAGTGACAGGGGAGCATGACCTCTGGCACAGAGGCTGCTAACAGGTAATACACTTTTTATGGAGCTCTTTCATGCCCCTCCATAACCACGACAACAGGAAAACAGTTCATAGACTTCCTGGGTAAAAGGCTTGAGCTGAGTCTTAACCACACAGCAGATACACCTTATATGAACTGGTTGTTTGACTTACCTTGTAAGCATTAGCATTTATCATTTTTCAGATTAATGTAACATTAACTGAGGAAAAGACTACACATATGTTCATTACTTAGTTCTAATTAAAACGTCCATTTGAAAGGATGGTAACAGATAAAAACGGTTTCATTTTCATGAGTTCTTTCAACATGGAAGCAAGCCAGGATGTTATAAAAGCACTGACAAGGTACATATCCCCTCTTCTAGTCTCCCAAAGAGGCCAGGTCATGATTTTACTTAATACCTCTACCATACAAATTTTGAACTCTGGTATCTAACAACTCTTCACCCTTTAATACAGTTACAAGTATAGGCACAGGTTGTACAATAGGTACAACTTGGATTAGGCTTCGTAAGTAACAAACTTCTATTAGGAGTTGAAGAATTATCTTTTTCTTAAAAGCCTTTAAATAACTGTAAAGAAATCATTAGTGGCTATACTCCCATCAAGCTAAAAAACAGAGGCTAGAATTACTTCAGGAGTGGGAGATGGAGCAGGGACAGACACATTTATTTGCACTGACTTCCCTTGGTACTACAAAATGCCTTTTTACAACAGTAGACCATTAGTTCAAAACAAACAGCTGACACAGACGGTTACTGGCAAAATGTAAATAGCCTTCGTATAGGTACCATTGAGAGTATCTACGAAGGGCAAGCTTTAATCTATCAGGATTAACTGCTTTAAGATTACTATACCCTGATCATTCTTCCAAGACATAACAGAGGCATCTGGAAAAGTCACACAGGGCATCTTTGTGGTGGGACAAGCAGGAACCGGAAGAGCCAGGTTACATGTCTGAAAAAGATTTAAAAGTTAATAATAAATAATCAAGACTCCTAGCACCTCATAAAGTCCTTCACCTCCTTATATTAGAGAAAAATATAGCATCCACTAACAGCTATGATTAAGTGGAACGGTCTGCAGTTTATATGTAAGCTGTAGACCAGGAAAGCAAGATTTCTCATCTAACAAAAACTGAGATACCTTAGTACCTCAGTCAACTCACTACAGCCAGAAAGAAAAATGTAATTCCAGGGGAAGGGCAGGAAAGAAGGAAGATTTTGTTGGTTCAACCACTTATCACAGGCAAGGGGCTTTTCAAAGTACAATTTCAAATTTTTTTCCATCAGGTTTATGAAAAACTTTGGCACATGAAAGTTGTCTTTGCTAGGAATCAAAATCAATGGAAAGCTGGTAAAACCTGGAGGAAGTCATCAGATTGCTCCAGCACAGAACAAGTATAAGGGGCACATATGCCCATGAAGCACTGCAAATCCGTGTATGAACAATCAGCTTTTAAGAGGACAGGAACGGATACGAGGCAGGCACAAAGAATTCAATTCAAGACCCCAACTGGTAATAACATCCACATCTAGGTACACTAATTTCAGATGACCACCTCAAAGTTTGTTGATTATCAGTTCGAACTATAAACAAACAAGCAAACAAAAAAAAAAGACAAAATTAGTCTCATTCAAGTAAGCTTAAGTCTTCTCCGAAAGATGACCAACACCTTTCACTGCACAAAATAACTGTGGCCATTTACGTATAAGGGTGTGATTAATATACTGTGATCACATACAATCTTAACACATGCATACTTCCGTATTTCCACTGACCAGCAGTAAGGATGATGGTCTTTGTTTTGGTAAAGTAATTATTTCTTTCCATGATTATAGCTTCCTAAAATGCTACAACTTGTGGAAGGAAATACAGAAGCCTCCATTTATGGTTATTGGTTATCATTTCATGTATCTCCCATTTTTTAAAATGGGGCTTCATTAATTACATACCCCTAGCACACTAAGTCACACAGTGTAAGTCATGTTTTAAACAGCTCTTTTCCATCCAGGCAGGCCCCCAGAATCTGAAAACATGGCCTGACATCTCCCATCTAGTCTAGAATGATTAATTTGACTAATCCATTTACTAGTTAATCCAAATGACAATCATCCTGTCATGCTTTTAGTATCATATAAGCGTTTTAAAGTCCCAAACTTTGCCATCACTGGTAATTCATTATTAGTATTAAGCAACATGGGAGGAAGAACTAATTGCAATATTATCTATTTACTCAACTGCACTCTCTGCTTTGACACACAAGGTTTTAGACTGTCAACCAAGACTAGAATAGAGTGAGGTTTCTGACCTCACATAGCTCAAACTCACACACCTTTTAAGGACAGTAAATAGTAGAAAGGCTCTGTTTAGTACTCCCTCACCACAGCCTAACAACCTGTTACTTCTACATTGTAAGACTTTGTCCTCCACCATAGTCTTACTGTTCTCTTCATAATCAAACCAACCTTAAAATAATGGAAACATATAATCAATCTTTTTGTGCATAGCAACATTTCATTGACCTGATCCACCACAGAGACAATCAAGAATGCCAAATCTGCTGCACACGGTTTCAGACTGTCAGACAAGAACAGCCTAAATTAAGGACATCCATGAAGCAAAAGCAGCATGAACCTATGACCAGAGTCATACTGATTTACAGTATTCTAAATCAATTAAGAAACCCTGACATTGCATGTCAGCCACTGCAAAATATCACGAAAGATAAAACCAAGTTGTTAAAGAACTACATTTTACTTGATAAAAGAGCCCAAAGGAACAAGCTGTGCTTGTTTAAAATGGTATAGAATATCCTCACCTTCAATTCAAACCAGAACATTTTTCTGCATAACCTTCATAACAATACGGATTACCAGAGCATCCATAATCTTCTGAGACTGAAGGCTATGGACAGCAGGTCTTCCACAGCATCATAGCAGACCAAACCCCAACCCCACTCACTCCCCCTCTTATTTAGCTACATTGCAGGGTGTTCCTTTCTTAGCATTTACCTCTTTCACTGTCTCCTGAGAACATCTCTTTCCACTCAATTTACAAGCTTTCTCTGCATATGCCAGCTTTTCTTCCTTAGTCAGCATCTTCAAGGAAAACAAATTGGTAGAAAAGGTTTTTACTGTTTCCTTCTAGCAGTCCCACAAACAAACAAAAAAAAAAATCCAACTACTAACACTGACCCAACCAGTGGCAAGTAGCAGCTTTCTCTCTAACAAAGCCATAAGCTTTGGTTTGAAACACCTAGCAAGCATATGCCTCTTAAGCATTTTCAGGTGAGGGCAAACTAGCCCTCCTCCACCACAAACAATGCATCTTCTGAAACTCCTCATTCCAGCCAGGGATGCCAGTATCTACAACAGAAAGCTGTGCTTCCCCCTGCACCCCTGCGGCTGAGGGGAAGCCAGCTAAATTTACTTCCAAGAAAGGCAATTTTGCCCCCCACACAGCCTATGCAGTAGTACCATAACACATCTCTATCTTATATGATGGGTGCTGCTTCTGCACCAGCAAGAGGCAGGTGAGCTACTACTTAACCCACAGTCCCTGCACACCACACCCAGAGCAGAACCCTTCTGCAGGCCTTTCACTGCCCTCGTTGCCATCAAGCTGCATTAACACTAAGCCGTTCCCCTCACCGCCCAAGCCTGGGAGCAATAGGGGATGGCGTCGATGACACAGGTCACGGGCAGCCTACGCCGCTGCAGCTCGGGCAGCTGTTCAGTCACGAAGAAGCAGTAGGGGCTGACAATGCCCTTACGGCGTGGCATGGAGCAGCTGCGTTCCGCTTGCCTCTGCCCCCGCCAGGCCACGGCTGACTCGCAGTCCGCCTCCCTACAGGGGGACTCTTAAGAAAGCACCGCCGGGGAGGAGCAAGGCATGTGCCCGCCCTCAGCTTTTGGCGGCAAAGGGAGGGAAACTGTTACATGGAGTTCTTCCCGCCCACCCCTGAGGGCTTCGCTGTTAGCCTGAGGGTGATGAGTAGGAGGGCGTGGTGGGGTTGTTTGGGTTTTGGTGTCGGATTTTTGTCGTTGTTCGTTTTGGGTGTGTTTGTTTTCTTATTTTTTAAATGCTCTTTGGGTGCTGAAGGATGAGAAATACCCAATGGGAGCTTGTACCAAGTTCTCACAGACATACACAATGCAGGGTCCCCAGCCTCATAAAAATGGCAGTATACTGATTTTTCAAAGTAAAAGGGTCACACCCCTCGATATCCTCTCAATCTGAATAATGCTATGTGTTAAATTTAGTAAAATCCTTACAAACAGTGACTAAATTCATTTATGCAGGTAGATATATTCATAAAATCACACACTGGTTTGGGTTGGAAGTGACCTTAAAGCTCACCCAGTTTCAGCCCAAAGGAGGTAGCTGTTGTTCAAGCTTGTATCTTTTGCTTAGCTAATTATGTTTGTCACTGGTGGAACTGCTGGTAAGGTTAGATCAGATTCTTCTTGCATCTCACTTGCAGCTGGTTTCTCTGTGGGTTAAAAATGCTGGCACTGTCTTACGGAGGCTATTCTGTCTTGCTCAAATCTAGTAAAACAGTTTGGTTTATGTTTGTGAACCACTGACTAAATTTGCCATTAAACATAAAGTAGAGATCAATGGCACAGCTACAGGTTGGGTAAAGAAGAGATTCAGAGCAGCCCTGCAGAGAAGGACTTGGGGGTGCTGATCGATGAGAAAATGAACATGAGCCGGCTTCAGTGTGTGCTCATAGCCCAGAAAGCCAACAGTATCCTGGGCTGCATCAAAAGGAGTGTGACCAGCAGTTTGAAGGAGATGATCCTGCCCCTCTACTCTGCTCTTGTGAGACCTCACTTGGAGTATTGTGTGCAGTTCTGGTGTCCTCAACATAAAAAGGACATGGATCTGTTGGAACAAGTCCAGAGGAGGGCCACGAGGATGATCAGGGAACTGGAGCACCTCCTGTATGAAGAGAGGCTGAGAAAGTTGGGGCTGTTCAGCCTGGAGAAGAGAAGGCTGCGTGGAGACCTCATAGCAGCCTTCCAGTATCTGAAGGGGGCCTATAGGGATGCTGGGGAGGGACTTTTCATTAGGGACTGTAGTGATAGGACAAGGGGTAATGGGTTAAAACTTAAACAGGGGAAGTTTAGATTGGATATAAGGAGGAAATTCTTTCCTGTTAGGGTGGTGAGGCACTGGAATAGGTTGCCCAGGGAGGTTGTGAATGCTCCATCCCTGGCAGTGTTCAAGGCCAGGTTGGATGAGGCCTTGGGTGATATGGTTTAGTGTGAGGTGTCCCTGCCCATGGCAGGGGGGTTGGAACTTGACGATCTTAAGGTCCTTTCCAAATGCTAACTATTCTATGATTCTGTGACATTGCTGAAAATGTAGAAAATTGTAATGTAAACTCAATGAGAACAGGGAAGGATTTTTAAAGTCGCTCGTAAAAAATCATTCATATTCTGGTCCAGTTCCTGATGCATTAATGCTAAATCTCTTGAGGGGACACTGCAAAAAATAACTTTTATCTTGTCAGCACAAACTTCTGCTCAGAGTCTAGCTTTTCAGGCAGAAAGGCCAGTATTTACTCTTACATTTCTCTAAGAGTTGTTGCTAGGAGTGCATCTGTGTACATTTGTTTTACTTTCCTTCACACCATGTTCTCTTCTCTCCTTTGCAGCTTTGAGACCCCGCGTTCAGCAGCCGTTCCTTTTAAAGAAATTTAGGTAATGTGTTCATCAACTGTTTGAAAAACATAATGCTCTAGTAATAGCTCTCCTAGGTCTAAAGGTACGGTTGGAAAATAAAATTCATAAGCAGCAGAGAGAGAAGGGATGCTTCTAGTGGGATTGGGGGCAGAGAGAAAACAGGGAACAGATCATCTTCAGATCACCATGTCATCAGCATTCTTCCCCAGGGCCCTGAGGAGACCCCCAGCGCCTCTGAAGGAACTTGTGTTTTAACTCTTTGATTCTCTGCTTCTCAACTTAGGTTGCAAAGGAGATCTTTGTACCATTTATGCCAATCTGTAAATAACTTTTGTAACACTGGGGTCATTCCAGCAGATAAAAGCAGTACTTATGTATTACTTTTTTTTTATTTAAGACACTTAATTAAATTATTTGATATGCCAACACTTAACTCCTAGGTACCTGGCCTTGGTGGAAAACAAGGACGTGGCTGTGGTAACCCAGACGTATGTGAGCCTTAAACTGGGTACTTCTTAGACATCTATGTTCTCAGGACTATCTGAGCATGCAAAGAAGGAAAAATTTAAGTGTGTAGTCAATTCTGACAGTACATGTGAGTTTTCAGTCTCAAGCTGCTGCTGAATGAAGGCTTTTTAAATTTCAGTACCATTTTTCAGAGTCTTGTTTTGGATCTGGCCCTAAGTAGGATGACCTGGGTAATTACAGGCTTTTCAGACTGACAGGAATCCCAGGCAAAAGAATAGAATCACTGATACAGGAGTTGCTTCAGTAATGAATTAATATAATGAATGCCAGTCAAGATGGGTTTGCAGAAAATAGATTGTCACATTTGTTTGTAATTGCATCAAAAAGATATTAAGTGTGGTTACTAAAGGTAATGCATTCAAACACATGAGGCATGTGACTTGACACACAATACTGAATCAAGGAATTACAAATATACAGGGACCATTCAGTCCCCAGTTAAAAGATTAGCTTAGGATGTCTCAAAATGTAGTTTTAAATGAGGAACTGTAACAGCGCCTGGGATGCTCTTTCCAGATCTGGTATTTGCGCAAGAATATAGAAAAATAACAAGTCTGTTGAACTTCCAGAGAGAATACTAAGGGTGCTTTGATAATACACTGTCGTTAACTCTGTTCAGAAATGCCTTAAGAAGGCCCTTTCATCTAGCTTAACAGTACTAGAAGATGAAGTTAGCTGAAATCAGGGGCAGGGTGAGGTCCCTTCCAACCCAAAGTATTCTGTGATTCTAGTTCTAACAGATATGCTGTAGTTCAAAAGGGATGTAGTGTGGCAAAGTGATGTGGCCTATTTTATTAAGAAAGCTGGATGTGACAATAACAAATACCCAGTTCCTGAATTCCAGCTCCCTGAAGGTTACTTATGCTGCCCCCAGTTTCTCTACAGCCAAACCCATAGAGGATTTAACAACTCATTATCTCCTTGGTTATCTGTAGATATGCAGTTTGTCTTATTCCTGTTCTTTGTATTTTTGCTTATGGTGACACACAGAAGAGCTGGGATAATTTACTTATGATCTTATGCTTATAGGATAACTTCACAAAACATTATTGCTGATGTGTACTTAGTGTTTTACTTAAAATTTCAGGTTTTTTCTAAAAGTGTAGCAAAGGGACTCTGATTTTTGGTGTATGAAAAAGAATCAAGAGCAGCACAGGATTTTATACAGAGGAGTGAACACTATAGAAAGATGCTGGGAGGATTTTTTGTTTTGGTTTCTGATGCTAAATTTATATTACAGAACTCAAGGTTCATTGGAATGAGAAAGTAAAATTTCTCAATTAAGTATTCTAAACATTTGGTACAAATGTCATGGTTAAGTTAAGAACAAAAGCAGTTTATGTACCTGTATCACTCACTCCTGACATTAATGGTAAGCAAAAGCTCTGCATTATTGTGCTATCAAATGTAGCCAGGCAGCTCAGAAAAAATAACATGCCCAGAGAGTGCATATATTTCAGCAATGTCTTCCTGTGACTCTATCAATGATTAATAAGAGATTTCAGTGTAACAAAGTAAACAAGGAAAAGTTTTAGTTAGTAGCTATTCTGAAGAGACTCAATGCTTAATAGGTACTGTAATATGCTGGTCACAGTACTAAATCAAAAGAGCAGTGTCTAATGGCTGAATCTAGTATGACATCCCAGAAAGCTGTTGAAATCACTGTTTCTATGGAAATTTCGACAAGGGAAATCTGGGGGGCTGAATGGATGTGCAAAAGTAGGCATGAAGAGAAGTATCTTAATGGAGTGTAAAAGGTTTTCAGGGATGTTGTTGCTAAGATGGGTCATTCAGAGTGAGGTGTTGGTGTAAATTATTCCAGCTGGTAATTTAAAAAGCTGATTCCACTTATCATGATAAGGTCATTTCCTTATCAACAGAGGAAATGACCACAAAAGACCCATGCTAGTAGATGAAAGGAAGGAGTGAAGTAGCAGGTAAGAGTCAGCAGCTGCTACAGCATGAACAAAAAGTGAGTTTGTGTCCCTATTGTTCACCTGAATTTGTTCATGAACACATTGCTTAGAGGGGAACTGATCCAGATAGAGCCACAGTATCATTTATATCAAACAGTGCTGTAGCATGGTATGTTTCCAGTTCAGTCTGGGGATAAATTATGCAGAACAGGCACAGGGAATTTGGCTGTTTGGGTTATCAAGTGACTGAGGGAGACAAAGGTTGAAGTCTACCGGTGTGCTGTTTTCAAGGGACAGTGAATCTCTGTTGGGCTGTGGCTTGAAGCAATCTGGCTAATTGCACAGAAATTTACCCACCCTTTGAAGGTGAAACTGGGCTAACTGCAGCCCTCTAACTAGTGAAAAGACAACATCCCAGCATTAACTATTAAGCCAGCTCAGATGTTGCAATGCTCAGATCAAAGGTCTAGAGAGATCTGGAACATCTATTCAGGGCTCAGGCATCCATCATATCTGCATATATACAAAGGACAGATCACATTAAGTGAAAAAGAACCGTACAGTGAGTTTGAGTATGAAAATTTCAAAGCAGCTATAAATCCAGTGTTACAGGCAAAACAATGGTGCTTCCTTCTATTTAAAATCTTT